GAGCAGGTACAAGTTTTGTTCTTGATCAGTTTTTTACAGCCCAATCCCATTCATGCCTACTTGGAAGTTAAGAGTCATTGTACCAAATAAGACTTAATCTTAAATAACAAAATATAAATTCAGGTTTATGCTGCTTTCATAATCTTGTAAAGATGTGTGTTATATTTTAGGAAAAGTGAAAAAGATACTGATAATGTAATAAAAGAAATATCCTTTAAAATTATGATTCTTAAGGTGATGCACTGGCACCTCTTTTGGAACTCTGTGTTTGTTTAGTGACAGATCATGCATATCCTTGATTTAAAGACAGTTAGTAGAGTGAAAAATAATCTACTGAATCCAGCAAAGGCTTGCCCGGCTACATAGACTGACTGTTTTTCATTTTTTTAAAAAAATCTAGTTTAAACAATCTTCTGGATGCCTCTTAGGTTTGAAAGCATCCTGCATGTGAAGAGCTGTCCCTGTTAAAAATAAAGGATCGTAAGAGGGGAAAGCAAGTGATCTGATGCTGTCTATGCAAAATTAGCCCCTGGGTAAGAAAATAAGGAAATGCATAGGTTGCTTTGTCAATTTCCTGACTGTATCAAAATATATTGTATGTCTGTTTTAATCAGTGTTTCTCAACCTTGGCCACTTTAAGCTGTGTGGATTTCAATTCCCAGAATTCCCCAGCCAGCATGTCTGGCTGGAGAATTCTGGTTGTTGAAATCCACGCAGCTTAAAGTGACCAAAGTTGAGAAACACTGGTTTACATTACATCAACAGTTCCTAAATTTTCATCTACACATACTAATTATAGATACATTTGTAGACACATTTGTATGCATATCTATGCTCTGTTTTATGGTGGTGATTTCCTTTAATGGGGAGCAAAACACAGGAAGCCACGTTAGGCCTACTACCAGAGATTCCTTGAAATCAGGCTGCAGAAAAACTCAGTCATATTTTCCTTCTTGATATTCATCATAGTACCAAACAATCCATACCCAGAGTTTTCTCATACCACATGTGCTCTTTGTGCTAGCCATAAATCATAGGTGATAGTATTGTGAAAGATACACTGTCTACATTTTGTCTAGAAGTGGGAATTGCTTTTCATAATATTACCCAACTGGAATAAGGATGTCTCTTCCTTACACTGCAGTAATAATCTAAGAAAACTAATCATGGATTCCCATTCATAACATCCCCAGTCTGCTGTCTGAAGCAGCTGCTTCAGCCTATCTAAGAGTAGAGCCTGTCCATCGGATTCTACAAGGTGTAATATGAATTGTTCAGACTGAGGAATTAATTTGAATTTTAATATTTTCTTTAGTATGTCTCTCACGAACTGGTAAGTGGAAAGATCTTCAGGCAAGAACTACAGTCCATAAGATATCCCTAATCAGCCTGGTTTGTTCAGGGTGCTACTGATTCAGGAAATAAATAGCCCAATATAACTTTTGGAAGAACCTTTCATAAAATCTACCACTCCTTTCAGGCTTTATAGTGAATAGAAATCCATAGCACTGCAACTCACTTTTCTGGAAACCATATGGTGGTCCCTGCGTAGCAATTTACTTCCCGAATCTTTGTGGGCATGGTATTGTGGTATCAGACTGGTACATGGGATTTAAAATACACATCTGTATCTCTCCTTGGAGGTCCAAAAAACCTTGAATACCAATCCAATTCTCTTCTTTCATGACCTGCCTAGCTCTTAGTGGGGAAAAAAAGTTTAAGATTGTGAGTACTATGGAGAGGAGAAAAAGAATTCTTTAGACCGTTTTTCAAATATTTCAGTCTGGATCATTTCCATTTTTCTTGCCTACTTTCTAACACAGCATTGCTCTGGATTCCAGAAGAATAAAGGTTTAGGGCTATGCCACATTGATAAAGAGTCTGAGAACCCCTTGACCAAATACAACTGGAGCAGAATAAGTTGACATTCAGTTTGTTGTACTGATCCAGTTTTTCAGGCACGGCTACCCCTAAGGTTGCAAAGCCATTCATATATGAGCAGAAGCAGCTTGTGAACAAGAAATGTCCAGAGTCCATCATGTTGAGATTGCTACTGGTATGTTGAATGCAGAAAAACAGCATTCAGAATGTGTACCCAATGTAAGAATTCTGGGATTTGCAGTTCCAACTTTTTTGCTGAACAGTGCCAAATTGGGGAAGGTTGCTCTAAAGTCATCTGTGCCAAATCACCCCCAAACCATCTTCATTTACTTCTGTTCCCCCTTTGTGACAAGAGGCAGCAACAGAGGCAGCTTTAGGGAGTCAAAGAGGCCAAGTGTCATCCACTCAACAGATGGTTTGCCTCCAATTCTGATTTAAGAACTGTTGTAGTGAATTAAAAATAATGTTGATATCAACTGTAATTATTTCTGTTCCAAAATTCTAACACAGGAATGTACAACTCGAGGACCTGTGCATACTGAGAATGCTTTGGCTTTGACCCCAGAGCCCCTCCAAAAGTTTGGGTTTCCTCCTCTGTGTGGCCCAAATGCAGCAACAGCTGTATAGTAGTTCTGGGGCTGGGAGCAAAGAGATGGCATTATGGTCGGGTCACTGTTTGCATTGGCTCTGTGCATCAGTTCTGAAGGTGTGGCTTTGCAAAGAGACTCTTCCTTGCTTATAATCTGAGAGCAGCTTTGCTACAAGATATGCTTCTTCCACTCTGTTCTGCTATCCTGCTTATATCTGACTCCTCCCTCCTGCAGCTCTGAATTGTGCAGACTGAACCAAAGAGCTTCTGGTGGTTTTTTCCCCCCTCCCCTCTGCTATAGTTTCTCCTAAGCCGGCAGTGTGAGACTGATATTCTGCTTGCTTTCCCCTACGGCACGTTTTTTGACATCAGCTTACAGCTTTTTACTTTAAGAGCTAAACTTCATCACCTCTGAGGATTATAAAGGACCAACAAAGAAACAAGGAAAGGAGAAATTATTGTGGTTTGTTTTCTTGGCTGGAATCTTTTGCTCTCTGGGACTTAACATTAATGCTTCTTTTAACAGTGTGAGCTGGGCATTACTTGGGTGCATCCTAAGCAGACATACAGAAAGGAAAAACAATCTATACAGTCCAAGAATAAACTTGGTAGAGAAGATGAGCGATCTACTGTGGAGCTAGCAATGTTTTCATCGGATGAGAACTCAAAGAATCTGTGAGAAGGTAAAGTAACAGCTACCCCAGCTATCCCAACCATTCTGGCAACCATGTCAGTCACCCGTAGTAATGTTTCATTAAATGAGACAAGCTACCCAAACCAGGGAATTATGGATATACCCAAAGATCAAAAATCTTTGAACCTTTTTATTTTTTGCTTGACTTTTGTCATCACATGCATCACCCTCCTGGGTGGCATCTATTCATTAGTGTCCCTGCTGAGAATGCAGAACAAAAGTACTGTTTCAATGCTTGCAACTTCCCTGAGTGTGGATGATCTGATTAGCGTGGTACCAGCAACAATTTTTATGCTCAAGCCTTGGTTGAATGAGATGCTTCCCCAAACCTTGTGTACCACTTCAGCGCTACTATACTTATTTCAGGGCTTCTCCAGCAACTTGATGGGGTCCCTTGTAGTTTCCTATAACTTCTACAGCCTCAACAAAATGGGAGCCAGCCAAGGGGCCACCAAGAGGCCAGTGAGCATGATATGGGCTGTTCTCACTATCTGGATTGTCTGTTTGCTGATTTGTATTTTGCCTTTATGTGGCTGGGGCACCTATGCTCCCACCGCCTGGGGATGCTTTATTGACTGCTCCAGTTCGTACATCTTGTTTCTCTTTATAATCTACTCATTGTGTTTCTGTCTCCTAATTGTGCTCTCCATTCCTCTTATTTATCAGTTGCTGTGTTCAGATGAGCAACAGCACTTTTATGATGATTATCATCAAATCACTGGAGGACATTTTTCTCCTGGGGTACCTCGATTTGACAGTCACACATCATCTCTTCCTTCAGAAGACACTGTGAATAAAACCTTGAAGCACTGTCAGAACTTTGACCCAGTAACCAGACAAAGTCCAGATGACCGCTGTCACTCGGACCATTATGGCACACGAAATGTGCCTCCTAACAACCGGAACGTCACTGTGGAATTTGCTCAGAAACGCTTCTCGCTAATTCTGGCTCTGACCAAAGTCATTCTTTGGCTCCCAATGATGGTAAAAAAAAACCTGCCCAAGTTTCTTTTCTTTATCTCTAAGGGTTTAGTTAAGCAGGATCTGATGATATTTGGAATTGGGAGCAACAGAACAGAGCAAATGAAGCTGTGTTTTGTGTCCAATTTGAAAACTTGCATCCTGTATTTAAAACATTGGTTAATCAAGATTTTTTTAAAGAGTTACTGTGTCATTTGCTTTGTATCTTCATATTCTGTTGGACTATCAGTTTGGCTGCTGTTTAAATGTATTCCTCATCTATTCAATCAGTTGGGTACATTACTGTAATTTCAATTGAATTTATGTTTCTAATATGGCTTATCTAGTGATCAGGAACTCAAAATGCACAACATCCCATATCAGTGTATTCTTAAGGAAATGAGTAAGGTTTTAATTACTTTTCAAATGATTGAAATTTGTTTTGCTAAATGTAAAAATTGTTTGTTATAGTCAGATACAGCAAGATTCCAAACAACTATTTTATGGCTCTAGTTTAATGCTGGCATAAGTGTTCCACAGATACATCTTGCTGAATGATTCCAAGAAAAAAACCTAGATGGGATAGGCCAAGGTCTTCTGCTTGATGCAATTCAGTTGGCATTAGGTTGCTTGTTTTAGCATCTGCCAAAATTTCCTTGCTTTGTTTATGAGCTGCAAGGCACACCTTTTGGTGGTGAATTGCCTGTAGCTATGAAATTGAAAGGTATTGCACAAGAGACTGAACCTATTTCCTTATTTTCTATTTCCTTTTTTTTAAAAAAAATCAGAATTACTGAGAACTGCCTTGATGTATATGTTAGTACAGATTGCAGATAGGGCAATGTTTACATGTGATTTTTTTTTTTTTTTTT